GTTTTCAAAAAAAAAAAAAATCCAGCATCTCTTTGATTGGATACCCTACTTTTCTACAAAAAAGTTTCAAGCCAAAAGATAAAATAGTTTTCCACCTATTGTGTTACTGGCATTACATATATGCTGAAAAAAACTTGACCTGCATATTATGACTATTCATCAGTTCTGTAATTTTCTATGCAAAAGGTAAAATGGTTTTCCACTTATCGACTTATTGGTGAAAGTGCATGGCGACGGCGACAACAGACGCAGGTGATGACTATATGTACAGACACATCTGTGTCTGTACATAAAACCATGGCTTTGAGAAAATTTCAAAAACAGGGATAGTATCCCTTAATAATGCCTTTGGACTTTTCACATTAGCCTTTTGCCCTTGACTCTTATCCAAAGAAATAAATCATGTAACTTACATATTTGGATGTGGTTTGCGCAGTATTGAAGCAGTAAGTTCTCGAGCGAGTATGCCGTGTTTATCCCCCCCCCCCTCCCCCCCGGTTTAACACACGACGACTCATCACACGACTTATTAAACAAGAATGACCTCCACACGTCGCCTTTTTATCGTACTTTGATTGAACAGCCAGCATTTGGGTTGAGTTATTTTTTAAGGATAGGGCCTAACCCTTAGCTATTGAGAACTGGCTTCTAGTGTGAATGGACACATTTATATTCCTACTAATGGCATACGTTATTGAAGACTTCAGCTAATTGGATTTTCATGTTAAGTTTGACCTCGTCCATCAAAATACAGACCCGCTCAATCAAAACAGCGTAAAATAGGATGGCTGAGTTGGGTCACTGTTACAAGGCAGTAATAATATAATAAGGGCATGGGGAAGGAAAATCGCTTGATATACCTTATCCCACTGGTGTGTGTGTGCGAGAAGGTGGGTGGGGGGGTGCACGTACCCAGTGCGTCTACCTAATTAGTTAACTGGCCAGTGTTTAACTGAATAAATTACTTAAAGGTCAGTTAACTAACCGGCTGTTTAAACACTGTTTATGAAACACAATTTCAACCGTCGTTTAGTTAATGGGTGTTAGGAGAATTTATCCACTGGTTAGACTTAAACACTGGTTTGTGCTAAACGCCCTTTACAAAACTGGGCCATGGCAGGTAAGATTTAACATTCAAATGAATACAACTTGTTTACAAATAATAACTAGAGGATCAGAGAGGCGATACCGCCTCCGAATATTGTACCACCAGCTGGGGTAAGCGCGATCGTATAGACCCCCACACACACACAAAAAAGGGACACCACCACCAGTCTTGTGCTTGACAAGCTGTAAAAAATGCAATCAACAAGAATTCTCAAAATATGCAAAAAAAATATATAACTAAAAATGGTACAATCAAAGTTCAGTTCATAGTAAGGTAGGTCAAAGGTCAATTTCAAGGTCACAGTAAATTTCCAGTATATGACTTCCTATTCAAGTTCAATAGCAACTATGGACCTATCTCTGCCAGTTTTGGAGATAAAAGGGAACCAAAATTTGTAAACTTCAATTC